CACATCTTCATTTTCATCCAATGAGCATCTAATAGGGGATAATGGTGATTCATCAAATACAACATGTATTGATTCCACAACGACTCGTGTTCTTTTGTTAAACACTCTAAATGCTTTGCTACGAGAGGAGTATCCTAGGAAAATACCTTCATCTGATTTAGGTTCAAATTTTCCTAAATTATCTTTGTCATTCAACACGAAGCATTTACACCCAAAGACCTTAAAGTATCCAATATTTGGTTTCCTTTTGTTCCAAAGATCATAAGGAGTCTTATTAAGGAGTTTTCTAATGATGACTCTGTTTATGACATAGCATGAGGTACTGACAGCTTCGGCCCATAGAGATCTAGGAGAATTATGTTCATTTAACATAGTCCTAGCCATTTCTTGGAGAGACCTATTTTTTCTTTCAACAACTCCGTTTTGTTGAGGAGTTCTAGGAGCCGAAAGATTATGATTGTATCCATTTTCATCACAAAATCTTTCCACATCTTGGTTGTCGAACTCTCTACCTCTATCACTTCTAATGGACTTGATCTTACATTCTTTTTCGTTTTCGACTCTCTTACAAAATTTAGTAAAGATTGTATGAACCTCATTTTTATGTGTAAGGAAAAATACCCAAGTGAATCTAGAGAAGTCATCCACAATGACAAATGCATAGAGTTTTCCACCAAGACTAGCAATTCTCTCCGGACCGAATAAGTCCATATGAATTAACTCTAGTGGTTTTGAAGTTGTTATATCCTTTTTCCTTTTAAATGATGACTTGATTTGCTTGCCTATTTGACATGCGCTACAAGTTTTATCTTTAGAAAAATTAGTCTTTGGGAGGCCTTTGACCAATTCATTTTTAGATAGTTTTGAAATCAAATCCATACTAGCATGACCTAACCTTCTATGCCACAACCAACTATCCTCATTTGAGGATACAAGACACTTGACATCTTGATCGTGTAGTTCACATAAAAGCAAAGAATATACATTACCATTTCTTAGAGCATGGAAAACTTCAACATTATCCTTTTTGACAATGCATTTGTCCGACTTAAACAAGACATCATATCCTTTATCACATAATTGGCTAATACTAAATAGGTTATGTTTTAAGCGCTTAACAAGTAATACATCATCAATAGATAGGGAGGAGGAGATACCAATAGTTCCAATGCCAATGACCTTGCCTTTTGAGTTGTCACCAAATGTGACGCTTCCTCCTTTATGAGGTTTGATGGAGTGAAATTTTGATTGATCTCCCGTCATATGCCTTGAACATCCGCTATCAAGAAACCATTTGTCCTTGGATAAATATGGAGACTTCAAGCAAACCTACAAAAGGAATTTGAGTAATCTTCTTTTGGTACCCACATTCTCTTGGGTCCATGAGAGTTAGGAAGAGGTGTATAAGTCCCTTTAATGACCCAAACTACTTTTGTCCTACATGGCCTAATAGGACAATGATTGATCTTATGTCCTATTTTTTTACAATAATTACATTGTGGACTAAAAGATGAATTTTTAACAAAGTAATTGTTCAAAGGTTCTCTCTTTTTCAATAAACAAGAGTTTTTGTTGTGAGGATCAAATCCAAGTCCATCCTTGGCATAAGCATTTCTTTGCTTTCCAAGTATGAGACCCAAATTTTCTCTACCTTTTGTGAATTTTGCTAAGGTCTCAATTTGATCTTCAATCATAATTTTTAATGATTTATTTTCAGAAATTAAATCTATTGAAATCGATTCTTTAGCTAATTCTTTTTCCTTTTTCAAAGCTTCATTTTCAAGTTGAAATTTTTCAAGGTTTTGAGAGATGATATTCTTTTCCCTTTTTAGGGTAGCACATTTTTGAACCATTTTGCCTAAATCATCATGCAATTCTCTAAAGGCATCTAGCAAGTAATTGTGTGCATCAACCAATTCATCATAAGTAGTTTCCAAATTAAATGAGTCATGATTGGAAATTACCTCATCGTCATCGGCCATGAGACAAAGATTAACCAATTCATTGAGTTCATCGTCACTTTCGGATCCATTTGAATCATCATCCTCCCATGTAGCTTGCATGGCCTTTCCTTTCTTTTTCCTTTCCTTTTCATTTTTATAGGCATAGCAATCGGATTTGAAATGCCCCGGTTTTCCACAATGGAAGCAAGTAGGTGCTTCTCTTTTTCCTTGCTCACTAGATGACCCATTTCTTTTGAAGTTGTTGCTCTTTTGGAACTTCTTCATTTGAAGGATTCTTCTCACGGTTTTGGTAATGAGAGCAACTTCTTCTTCTTCTTCATCATGAGGAGCCTTATCAATTGCAACTTCTTTGGTAGTAGCTTGTAGAGCTATATCCTTCTTTTGAGTTTCTTCATCTCTATCATTCATTTCTAGCTCGTAAGCCATTAGTGAACCAATGAGTTCGTCAATAGGAAGTGTGTTAAGATCTTTGGCTTCTTGGATGGCGGTCTTCTTTGCTTCCCAATTCTTTGGCAAAGATCTAAGGATTTTTCTTACATTGTCGGATGATGCATATTTTCTTCCAAGAGCTTTCAAAGGATTAACAATGTTAGTAAAACGAGAGTACATTTCACTAATAGTTTCTTTGTTATTCATGGTAAAAAGTTCATATTTATGGACAAGCATATTCATTTTGGATTCCTTAACATGACTAGTACCTATATAGGTAACTTCAAGTTTATCCCAAATTTCTTTAGCCGTTTCGCAATCTGAAATTCTATTGAATTCATCTTTGCTTAAGGCACAATAGAGATTTGTGATAGCCTTGACATTACATTGTATAAGCCTACGGTCATTGAGGGTCCATTCAATATCGGGTGTTGGAACATTTTCACCCTCTACTATCTTGGTTGGAACATGGTCTCCTTTTTCTACGGCTTTCCAAACATCTACATCTATGCCTCTTAAGAATGCTCTCATTTTGATTTTCCAATAGTTGTAGTCACTTCCATCAAACCAAGGGGGTCTATTATTAGATTGACCTTCTTGATGAAAATTTGTATTGGCCATGATCGTTCTCTAAGATGATTAATCTTTTTCTAGAGATTAGGCTCTGATACCAATTGTTAACCACTAAATGACTCTAGAGGGGGGGTGAATAGAGTCAATGGCCAATTTTTTGCAATTTATGAAACTTGTTTTACAACAACTATTATGCAATGATTAATTGATAAATTCAAGCAATATAAAGCACAAGTAAAAGAGATAGAGATAGGAAGATGCAAACAATGAACTCGGTGATTTAGCGAGGTTCGGAAACTCCTACTCCTCGGCTCAAGATCCCCCTTGAGACTTCCCAAATTCACTAGAGCTTCTCCTTAATGGTGGAGAGCAAACCTTCAAATTTGAAGCAAGACCTTGCTCCTTTTCCTTGCTAGGAGAACACCCTTCTCCTAGGCTTCTTTTGGGTCACACCAACCCTTACAAGATTGTAGCAAAGTTTGTAAATGAAATACAAGAATCTCTCTCAATAGATATACAAGTGCAAGCTCACAACTAGAGAATATCAGAATATTAATGAAGCTCAAGTTCTAGAATGAGAGAAATATCGTGATGGTTGAAAGTGAAAGCTCAGAGAAGAAATTAAATGACTTATTGAATGCTCTTGAATGCTCTCTTGAATGAAATATCCAGTGGTGTATCACTTCAGTAAAATGAGCCTTCTTTATATAGACAACCGAGGCTTAATATGTCTGTTAGAAGTAGTTGGAAGTCTTAAATGCAGAAAAGTGCCGTTGAAGATTCAAATAATCTAGAAGAGCCGGCTCTACAAAAAATTGGAGGAGGCTCCAATAAATGGGAGGCGGCTCCAATAACTGGGAGGCGGCTCCAATTCACAAAATGCATTCTACGACACACAATTTGGCTACTGGAGTGCAAAGAGCAGGCTCCTATATTTGGGAGGCGGCTCCAATCCTTGTGTAAGACTAAGAATGAAACACATTTTGTTCTGTGCACTTCCTATTATGAGAGCATGCATAAGTAAAGTTCATGGAAAGATTTTAGGCCTTCTAAAAACTGATTTTTAGAGAAAATATGCATGAACCTAAAAACTTGAGTTTCAGAAGATATTCAAATATGCTTTAACATTTAAATCTAAAGCTCTCACCATCCTATCTATCCTTTTCTCCATTCCCTGACCATGATCTCTTGAGCTTGATGAAAACTTGCTTTCTTCCTTGAAATTGTTTGATTGATCTTTGAAGTTTGAGTCTTTCTTTGATTTCTTGCAATCTTTGAGGCTTCATTGAGTTCATAGCTTGAGTACTTGAATGCTTGAAATAGCTCATCTAGCTCATCATATAGGATATGAACTATATATAACTCAATGAAAATATTAGTACATAAACATCATTAATGGTTTGTAATCATCAAAACCTTTAGATAAAAATCCTTAGGCCAACAGTAAGAATGAGTAGAATAAATAAAGAAAAAATTTACAAAGGTATTTGGGGCATACCCAAAGCCCAACAGGCAACAGCAAAGGCCTAAAGCCACCCGGGCCACAAGGGCATATAGTCCGTCCATACAGGAGAGAGCCCATGGAGGCTATAAAAAACAAAGAAAACAAAAGGATTTGTCCAAACACGCCCTTAAATTCAAAAAGTAACAAAGAAAAAGCGACCCCAAAGTTCTATAAAGCGTTCACACCAATAATTGTAAAGAGTGAATTTTGAACATATATTAATTGGTGTTAAATATCGGTTAAAACTGGACTTTTCTAGGTCAGTCTGGCCTGAATTCACGGCTTGGTTCGGTTGCAGGTTTTTCTTTGCTGGTCATTTTTCGAAAAGAAAATTAAGAGAAGGTGCGCGCAGCCGGAGTGGACTGGAGGCCCACAAAGTGCAGGAACTGAGTCTGCATCAGATTTGTCATACTTCAATTTTTTTTATAGGATTAGTTATTCCATCACATCAAAAATGTTTAATAAAAAAAGTCATTTTCTGATCTATAGAAGTTAAGGCTCTGTCCTGCTTCTCTCACGGACAAGCCTTTCCTTTCATGTGGTCTCCTGTTTGAGCTTTGAAAATGGCAGCTTCCTGGGTTTACGACGTGTTCCTGTCTTTCAGCGGTATTGATACCCGTAAGAAATTCACCGCCCATCTCTTGGCCGCGCTGAATCGGCATGGTTTTTACACATTTAGAGATGACACTAAACTCAAAAGAGGAGAAGAAATTGGTCCCGGATTGCTAAAAGCAATCGAGCAATCTAAGGTTTCTATTATAATATTCTCCGAAAACTACGCAGCCTCAAGATGGTGCCTTGATGAGCTTGTAAAGATCATGAATTGCAAGAGGACACTCAACCAGATTGTTATTCCTATCTTTTATGACGTGCAACCCTCCGAAGTTCGGTCACCGATGGGTTGTTATGCAAAAGCATTTGCCAATCACGAAAAGCAGTTCAAGGAATCGGTGAAGATTTGGAGGTCGACTCTAACTGAGGCTGCCAATTTATCTGGTCAGGTCCTACAAAGTGTGGCCAACGGGTACTTTTAACTCTCTTTTCTTCAAAAAAAAAAAATAAATAATAATAAAAAAAAATAATAAAATAAAATTGTAATCTAAAACATTACCAATTTGTTCACACATCTATTTTGATCTTTCATCTATCTCTACGTAAAAATTGCTTAGCTTCATTTTTTTGAATTTCATTTTTCTCTTACAACGGTTGAAATTTTTTATTTTTTATTTTTGGCCAGATGTGAGTCAACCTTTATTGAGATTGTTGTTGGAGTAGTCGCAAAGATATTAAATCCTACATGGTTAAGTGCTCCAGACTATCCGGTTGGAATAGAATATCGTGTTGGAAAACTGAATTCCTTTCTACATTTGGATTCAATTGATTCAAATAAAGATGTTAGGATTGTTACCATATGGGGAATTGGGGGTATAGGTAAGACAACAATTGCTAAAACTTTGTATAATCGCATACATAGGAAGTTTGAAAGTAGTAGCTTTCTTGCAAATGTTGGACGAACTTCGATGCAGCCCAACGGCCTTGTTGAATTACAAGAAAAGCTTCTTTGTGATATCCTCCTAACGGATGGAAATCAGAGAATAAGAAGCGAGGATTATGGAATTGAGGTGATAAAACGGCGAGCATGGTGTCGAAGGGTTCTTCTTGTTCTCGATGATGTGGATAACATCAACCAACTGAGGGCATTAGCCATAAATCGTGATTTCTTACGTCGTGGAAGTAGAATCATAATAACAACCAGAGATTTGTCTTCAGTTAGTTCGCTTGAAATGAATGAGGTATATATGCCTCAAGAGTTGAACAACGAGGAATCTCTTCAACTCTTCAGTTGGCATGCCTTTAGAAGTTACCGTCCTGTACAAGACTATGAGATCCTCTCTGAGAAAGTAGTAAGTTATGCTAAAGGGCTTCCTTTAGTTCTTGAAATTTTAGGTGCCTCTTTGTTGAACAGCACCATAGCTGAATGGAAAAGTGAATTGAAGAAGTTGAAAAAGATTCCTCATATGGATGTTCAAAGAAAACTTGCGTTGAGCATGAATTCACTTGATGATGAACAGAAGGGTTTATTCCTTGATATCGCATGCTTTTTTGTTGGAATGGACAAAGATTTTCCAATCAAACTACTAAAAGGTTGCGGTTTTTTCCCAGAATCTGGAATTGGGGTTCTATCTCGTCGTGGTCTTGTGAGCATTGATGTGCTTAACCGACTGAGGATGCATGATCTGATTCAAGACATGGCTAGAGAGATTGTCCGCCAAGAATGTCCTGAAGAACCGGGCGAGCGTAGTAGATTGTGGTATCACAAGGATGCTCTTGATGTACTGAGAAATAACACAGTAAGAGCCGAATGCATGAATTAATTACATATCTTGTGTTGCTCATTATAAAAATGTCATAGCACACTACACATCATGAAAGTCTCACAATCTGGGAGGAGAACCTATTTTTAACACCATGTTATATATATATATATATATATACACACACACACATTCTTATATCTACAACTTTTCTTATCATCAGGGGACGAAAACTATTCAAGGCTTAGTCCTAAACTTACCGGAATCAGAGGAGCTACAACTAAATCTGAAGGCATTTACAAAGATGGAGAGGTTGAGACTGCTGCATCTCAATTCTGTCAATTATCCAAGTGGAAGCTACAAATTACGTCTCTCTGGAAGACTTGTATGGCTATCTTGGAAAGGATTTCCTTTAGAATGTATACCATCTAGTTTAATTATGGATAGTCTGGTTGCAATTGACTTGACTTATAGCAAGCTCAAACAAGTTTGGAACGGAACAAAGGTACGCTTATACTACTGTTTTCATCTCCTTAAAACTTAAATAAAACAACATACATTGAAATTTATTGCTTTCTGATCCTACAGATTTTGTACAAATTAAAATACCTCAATCTAGGTCATTCCTATTTCTTGATCAAAATCCCAGACTTCGTGGGGTTCCCCAGTCTCGAGAAATTGTTGCTTAATGATTGTACAAAGCTGGTAGAGATTCACCAATCTATTGGATGTCTGAAAAATCTTCTTGTCTTGGATCTGAAGAATTGCCAGAATCTTGAGAAGATTCCCCTGAGCATTTTCATGTTGAAGTCTCTCCTTGATTTCAACCTGTCTGGCTGCTCCAAATTAGAGTGGCCTGCATTTTTTCAAGGATCATCACTTGAACCAAGTTTTTCGTCAGTACAGTTATCAAATTGCATCAAGGAATTACATATGGAAGACTGCAATATAACATATGTGCCCTGCGAAATTGGAAGTTTGGTGTCCTTGCAATTTTTGAATCTTAGCGGAAACAAGTTTTCTAATCTACCAACTACCATCGCTAGCCTTCCACTACTGAGGTACATTTTTGTAAACAAATGTCCTAGGCTTGAATCCGTTCCGGCACTTCCAGGAAATTTATTTGGATTGATTGCAAACTACTGCACATCATTGCAAAGTATATCAATGGAATCAAAAGCACCAGAAGCACAACGTATGAGTTTTTATGGTTGTCCCAAATTAGTCCACAACAATTTTGCATATAATTTTAGAAGAAATCTCCTCCGTTATCAGGTACACTGCTCTGTTTTCTCTTTTCCTACGTGTGTGTAGTACTTGAAAGAAACCAAGCCTTATTATTTTAAATGACAAATGTCTGACTTTTGATTACAAAAAATGAGCTAGCGTGCATTCTGATCGCATAGGCAAGGCTGTTTGGACTGATGGCTAATACTTATGCAAGCTGCAGGAACTACGAGAACAAGGTGAGTTGAATATTTTTCTTCCAGGGTGTGAGGTTCCAAGGTGGTGCAACTACCAGAGTGAGGTTCCGAGGTGGTGCAACAACCAGAGTCAGGGACACTGTTTACGTTTTCAGATACAGCATTCAGAGGGTAGGATAATACAAGGGTTTATTCTCTGTGTTGTTTTTTCTAGCTACGGCAGCCTCAATCAAGATTTTGCTATTTCCTATTACTTTAATAATAGAACCAAGATGTCTAGGTCACCATACCATGGACAAATAGTTGAATCCTATCCTGCAAGTTTTGAAGATCAGATGTGGCTCTCCTACATACCAAACTGGAGCCTTGGATCTAATTTGGAGGGTCACCATTATTGCTGCGGAGATGAAGTGGAGATTGAAATAACAATGAACCGTTGTTGGCGGGTGAACCAATGTGGGATTAGTCTGGTTTACAAGGGCGATGACAATGATCCCAACTCATATGATCATGAATTTCTTGATGGGATTCTTATATTTCCCATTCAAAAGCTACCTTGTCAAGAAAGTAGGAATCGCAGGTATTGCTTTATGTAGTTTTATGCAAATTAATATAAAAAATAACATCTGCATCCAATTCATCTCTCCAAACACTATATATGGATTAATAACATGATCTAATAATAGATTAAGAAGTTTTGTTTTCATAATTTTCTAGCTATTCTTTTTCTATAAATAATTTTCAAGACTCAGTGTAGTGACCTGAATAATGTTACTAAAATTAGATTGTTGTGATGAATCCTACAAATAGTCAGCCGATTGTGAGAAGGAAAGGAAAGTTTCTTCTATTCAAATGAAAATGGTAGCGGAGATTGTGGTATATTCCATAAGATAAAACTAATGGTTCCACAGTTATGAAGCACAACCACTTTAATTAAATAACTGAATATTAATTAGCTTTAGATTTATGTCAATTAAACATTTCCAATAATGAATTATTAGTTACGAAGCGAAAGCTATGATGAACCTTCACAAAGAAATAATAAAAACAACTTTAAATTCATAGAGTTGAATTTTCAAATACTATCGATCAATGTATATTTGCTAAATGTATGTATAAAAAAGGAGAAATCAAAGGTTGCAGCCTAGTGGTACTTCCTTGCCTCCAAAATTAGAACGTTAAGGGTTCAAATCCCGTAAGGGCAAATTGGATGTGTGAGTTTTTCTTGCCAATTAAAATTGAATTATCTCTAAAAATTATGAAAAAATAGGAGAAGAAAACTAGTAGATACAAATAAATAAATAAAACGAGTCAAAATCCTAAACAATAGAATTTGGCCAAAAGATTACAACACTCTTTTCCTTATAAACCAGCTGTGGGCCACAAGCAAATCTTGCGTGTTTTGATCGCTAGGCCATTTCGGATCTAGGATGAACCTTCGCAAGTCAAAACGGACTCTTAAAATTGTACCCAAAAAAAAAAAAAAAAAAAGTAAAAGAAAGGGGTTACCTAACTACATACAATAAAATTTTCAAGTAACAGAGACTTGTAGAAAGTTGTTTTGCCTGTCAAAAATCATTTTGTGGCATTTCGCAAATGTTTATGGGTTCACATGAGTCACTCTTTCAACGCAGCACTTTGTGTAACAGATACATATTTCAACAGTATCCAAATCTGCCCTTTATAGAAACTAGATGAAACACATCGTTTTAGAATATATGCTACTTGTTTTATTGGGTAGAACTAATAAATGAAGAGAAACTTACCGAACATTATTTTTGAACTGAACAATTTGATGATACAAGTTTCCTTTACAAAGGGTATTTAGTTACCGAATGGTTGAAAATCCTTTATGATTGAGTTCAAGTAGACAAAAATATAAGAAATTATGAAGAGATATGCACATGATACTTTTGTATTAATAGCTGAATAAGCATATAAATTGCACAATAACTAAACATGCAAATAAATTAGTGTACAGAGAGACAGACAAAATAGCATCTGTAGATAACCCAGAAGTTACACAAATTTTCACAATTATTTCAAACAGTATGGTGCAGAAATATAGGATCTCAAGAACAAATACTCCGAGAACTTCAATAAAGAAACAATGGAGTTAGTGTACAGACATATTTTAATCTAACCCTTCTGCAACAAAATATTGAACTAATTAATCCATATCTTCAATTTGTTTTATGTACTAAAATTCTACAACACTAATCAGGGGAAAATATGTAGAGCCCCATTCTATATTTTAGTTCAATAACATAGATTATGATCTTCTTTCTAAAGATGAAATGAGGAAGGGTGAAAATTCTAGTCAAGGGATAATTTCCAGTTCTCATAATCATTATATTTAGACATACTCTGGATTTCCAATACCGAAGATATGTGCTACTTTTTTTCAGTTCTAAAACACACCTCTAAATTTTTCTTCTTTTATTCTCCTCATTTTCGTTATAGATCTCTTCATCTCCCCATCTTTCTGCATAATTCATCCTTTCTCCTTATAAAATTTTCATTACCGAGTTTGTTACACATCTAAGTCTCTATCCAGCCAAAATATTTAGCATATGATGTAAAATAAAAAATCCCCAAGATCTAACTCTTTCTAAAGATCTTCGAATTACTTCAGACTGTAGTTTAGGCTTCATCTAATAACTTCCCCAGATTTCATTTGCCTTAGCTTGCCATGCCTTCTCTGATCTCTACTGAATATAATATGTGGTTATAGGTTACAACATACAAGCACAATGCTGCAATAAACTAGGAATGCAACCTATAGCATTCGGCAACCAGAGCATGCCGATCCGTAGCAATCCTAAAGAGACTGGGAAAGATGCATAAATGTATCCGTAATATGAATTGCCAACACACTTTGTCAAACACACGTAACACCACCTTTTAACCTTTAGATCCCTCAAGTTACAAAGTAGAGATTTCAGTTCCATCCCACATATACATTCCTAATTATTGTTTCTAATTCTCTTAGAATTTTATGGAATTTGAATTCCATTCATCGTAAAATACTTCAGTCAAACATAATAATCTCCTATTTTAATATATTTGATAATAGAAAAGACCCCATCAACTATTCAAAGTAGATATTTGAGAAAACTTCATAACCACTCGAGAGAGGCAACATCCAACTTCTTATAGTGATAACTAAAGTGGCATACAAATGAGTTCAGAAAAGGCAAGAAATTATTAAAATATGGTGCACCTAAATTATTTTAAAGCATGTCACTTACCTATAAACAATTACCTATTAAATATAACCAGCCTAGTGAAGCAACTTTCTGAATTGGTTTTCTGTAGTGAAACAATTACCTATAAATTCCTCCCCCACCTCTCTCTCTCTCTCTCTGCCCTTCTCTGAAGAGATCATGAGTCTACGACTTGGGTCATGCACCAAACACCATATAAAATAATGTGTAAAAAGAAGATAACACTGTCCACTTCCTATGCGTTGTTTCATGGATATGGAAAATGCAATCAGGATGAATCCTTCCCAGCTAAAGGAATGATAAAAAGTTTCAAAGGTCTCCAAGGTCTCAGACAGGGGGATCCCCTACCCCCTTTCCTATTTCTTAAAGCCATGGAGGTCTTCAATGTTCACAACTTTACCTCCTTTAACCCTTTCAAGTTCCATTGGAGGTGTAAGAAACTGGGAATCACCCACCTTTCCTTTGCTGATGACTTGCTTCTTTTCTCCCATGGAGATATTCAATCTGTTTCCACTCTCAAACAAGCACTTGACTTGCTTTCCAATCTATCAGGTCTTTCCATTAATAAAGCAAAAAGTTCAGTATTTGTCTCTAACACCGACTCCCAAACTTAATCTTCCATTATCTCCCTCGTTGGAATTGAGAAGGGCTCCCCTACCAATCAGACATTTGGGTGTTCCCCTGGCCTCACAGCTACTGCTTGAATGGTTCTTGTTAACAAAATCACCGCAAGAATACAACATTGGACTATCAGGCGGTTATACTATACAGGCAGACTTCAGTTAATCAAATCTATCCTATGCAGGGCATCCATTTCTAAGTTCCTATGTCTACTAAAATTGAATAATCCACAAGGCATATGGTCAAAATGGGTGCACACATACCTTATCAAAAACAAGAAATTATGGTCAGTAAAAATACCTCAAAGATGCACTTGGAGTTGGAGAAAGCTGCCCCAGCTGAGACACAATGCTGCCAAGTTGATTAGATTTAGAGTTGTCAATGGAAGGAAAATTATTTGCCACCCTTGACCAGTATGCAGTGGTCAGTCATGGTATTTTCCCTCTGCAATTACCACACTCACGCTCTTATTTAAAGGAACATTTTGGACTCTCAATGTATCAATTCTTAGCATATTATATGGTTAAGAGTATAAAAGATACGTAACAAGTGAGTCCACAATTTTTTTTAAAAAAAATTGCTGAATTGGGTACCTTTTGGATGGCGAATTTGAAAGCAAGTGAATGATGCTCAACAACAACATGGATGCCAAACAAGTCATTGAGAAGCTTTGCAACAAATGGGCCATGAAGGGGCTTGTCTAGGGTGTCCCCGGATTCTCTCCAAATGGAAATTCCTCCATTCCACCCATCACTGGAAATAACTAGAAGATCATTCCCAACACTGTTTCGAAGCTCACCATCAGAGCAACCATCCACCATATTCGGGAAGAACAGAAATCCAGACTCTTCAAAGGAGCGACATCCAAGTAATCGATCGGTGTCAAAGCAAGGCTCCTCCTCTGCAATATAAACGATCCATCTGCTCGTCCAGAATTGCACATGAATGGGATCTCCCACCAGAATCCACCATTTCTATTAAGCCCTAACTGCCATTGGAAATTCAAGTTGTGACCGATAATCTTAATTTGGGATGGGGCTTTTGGGCCTGGTAAGCTCTTTTGGGGTTTTGTTTGGGTTGGGTCTTTTGTCTTTAGTCCAATCTTAGATAACATGTATTGTAGTTAATGGAATAACTAGTGGGACAATTTATTATGATAAATTAATAAACTTAAACTCTACAATATTTCAACAATGGTAGGTTTTAAGTCAATTTTTTCTTTTTTAACAGATAAGCTCTAAGAGAAGGTGCGTGCAAGATGTGGTGGAGTGGGCGACGCCACACGCAGCTACTTCGATTCTTCCTCATGTTTATCATTCTTCAAATTTTTTATAGGATTAGTTACTCCGATTAAACAAAAAGGTCATTTTCTGATCAATATAAGTCAAGGTTATGCCCTTCTCCTCTCACGCACAAACCCTTTCTTTCATTTGATCTCCTGTTTAAGCTTTGAAAATGGCAGCTTCCTGTATTTACGATGTGTTCTTGTCTTTCAGCGGTGTTGATACTCGCAAGAATTTTACGGCCCACCTCTTGGCCGCTTTGGAGCGCCATGATTTATACACTTTCAGAGATGACACTAAACTCACCAGAGGAGAAGAAATTGGTCCCGAATTGCTCAAAGCAATCGAGCAATCTAAGGTTTCCGTTATCATATTCTCCAAAAGCTACGCGTCCTCAAGATGGTGCCTTGATGAGCTTGTAAAGATCATGAATTGCAAGAGGAGATTTGGTCAGATTGTTATTCCCATCTTCTATGACATCCAACCCTCCGACGTTCGCTCACAAAGGGGTTGTTATGAAGAAGCATTTGCAAGTCACGAAAAGCGGTTCGACATGAAAATGGTGAAGAATTGGAGGTCGGCTCTTAAAGAAGCTGCCAATTTGTCCGGTTACGACCTGCAAAATATGGCCAACGGGTACTTAATTTGATTTCTTTTCTTCAAAGCAACCAATTTCACTTACATTTGCATTTGGGATCACCGAAATTGAATTTCGAATTAGAAGGAATATAATTATAATTTGAAAGAAATTTAGTTCAAATCCAAGAAGTCAATTTGGTGTTCCCGGCTATAACTTCATTATTTTATTCTATCACCTCTTTGTATGTAAAAATGGCTTAGTTTCAATTTTTTATTTTATTTTTTATTTCTTATTTTTTTTTTCTGTCCCTCCTAAATGATTGAAAAAAATATCAACTGCGGCAGGTGCGAGTCAACGTTTATTGAGACTGCTGTTCGAGAAGTCGCAGATAAACTAAATCTGACGTGTTTAAGTGTTGCGGACTACCCAGTTGGTATACAACCTCGTGTTCAAAAACTGAGTGAGTTTCTAAAGTTGGGATCAAATAGTGATAATGTTAGGATTGTTGCCATATGGGGGATTGGTGGATCAGGAAAGACTACAATTGCTAAAGCTATGTATAATCGCATATATCGCATTCGTGAATTTGAAAGCAGTAGCTTTCTTGCAAATGTTGGACCAACTTCCATGCAACCTAACGGCTTTGTTGAATTACAAGAAAAGCTTCTTTGTGATCTCCGATTGGATGGAAATCAGAGAATAAGAAGCCAGGATCATGGAATTGAGGTGATAAAACGGCGAGCATGGTGTCGAAAGGTTCTTCTTGTTCTCGATGATGTGGATAACATCCGGCAATTGAGGGCATTAGCCATAAATCGTGATTTGTTACGTTCTGGAAGCATAATCATAGTAACAACTAGAAATTTGTCTTCGGTAAGTTCGCTTCAAGTGGATGAGGTGTATAAGCCTAAGGAGTTAAATAGGGAGGAATCCCTTCAACTCTTCAGTTGGCATGCCTTTAGAAGAGGCCAGCCTGTAGAAGACTATGAGATCCTCTCTGAGGAAGTTGTGAGTTATGCTAAGGGGCTTCCTTTAGTTCTTGAAATTTTAGGTTCCTTTTTGTCGGACAAAACTGTACGTGAATGGAGAAGTGAATTGAAGAAGTTGAAAAAGATCCCAAATAATGATGTTCAAGGAAAACTTAGGCTGAGTTTCGATTCACTTGATAATGAACAAAGGGGTTTATTCCTAGATATTGCATGTTTTTTTGTTGGAATGGACCAAGACTTGTCAATCAAAATACTAGGAGGCTGCGGTTTCTTCCCAGAATCTGGAATTGGGGTTCTATATCGTCGTTGTCTTGTGAGCATTGATCGGCATAACCGGCTGATGATGCATGATCTGATTCAAGACATGGCTAAAGAAATCGTCCGCCAAGAATCCCTCGAAGAACCTGGTGAACGTAGTAGGTTATGGTATCATGAAGATGTTCTCGATGTACTGAAAAATAATACAGTAAGAGCCTAATACCTGAATTAATTACATATCTTGTCAATGTGGGAGGTCTTGTTCACTGTAAAAATGCCATAGCACACGGCACATCATGAAAGTCACACAATCTGGGATATGAACCTATTTTCAACACAATGTTACACACACGCATACACACAGACTCGCATATATTCTTATATCTGCAGCTTTTTATTACCATCAGGGGACGAAAGCAATTCAAGGTTTAGTCCTGAACTTGCCTGAATCAGAAAAGGTAAAACTAAAAGCAAAGGCATTTACGAAGATGGAGAGGCTGAGACTGCTTCATCTCAATAATGTCCATCTAAGAGGAAGCTACAAACATCTCTCTGGAAGACTTGTATGGCTATCCTGGAAAGGATTTTCTTCAAATTATATACCATCAAACTTAATTATGGATAATCTAGTTGCCATTGACTTGAGCTATAGCAAGCTGAAACAAGTATGGAGAGGAACGAAGGTACGATGATACTACTGTTTTCGTCTCCTTCAAACTTAATTAATAGAATGACATGCATAGAAATTTATTGTCTCTTTCTGTTCCTGACAGGTTTTGTACAGATTGAAATACCTCAATCTCGGCCATTCCTATTTCTTGATCAATACTCCAGACTTCACAGGGTTCGCCAGTCTTGAGAAATTGTTACTTAATGATTGTACAGAGCTGGTAGAGGTTCACCAATCTATTGAACATCTGAAAAATCTTCTTGTCTTGAATTTGAAGAATTGCCATAATCTTCAGAAGATTCCTCTGTGCATTTTCACGTTGAATTCTCTCCTTGATTTCAGTCTGTCCGGCTGCTCCAAATTAGAGTGGCCAACATTTTTTCAAGGATCCCCACTTGAATCAAGCTTTTCGTCGTTACAGTTATCAAGTAGCATCAGGGAATTGAATATGGAAAACTGCAATATAACATATGTGCCCAGCGAAATTGGTAGTTTGGTGTCCTTGGAATTTTTGAATCTTAGCCAAAACAATTTTTCTATCCTACCAGCTACCATAAGTAGCCTTCAGCTTCTCAAGGCCCTCTCTGTAAGTCAATGTACTCGGCTTGAATCGATTCCTGAGCTTCCAGTAAATTTATTGACATTGCATGCAAACTACTGCACATCATTGCAAAGCATAAAAATAGAATCAAAATCAGCAGAAACATCATTGAGGAGATTGTACCATTTTCCCGACAGTTCTGTATATAAATTTAGTAGAAATCTCCGTTATCAGGTATGCTCTGTCTCTGTCTCTGTCTCTGTCTCTCTATATATATGTAGTACTAGAAACCAAGCCTCAGCTCGTGGGTTTAATGTAGGGACTGCGAGAAGAAGGAGCATTGAATATTTTTCTTTACGGGCTTCCTAGGTGGTGCAACTACCAGAGTGAGGGAGACGTTTTAAGTTTTCAGGTGCCTCTGCTTCTGGGTGGAACAATTTTCTTGAAACAGGGGGACGACAAGGATCCTGACTTATGTGATGCCTCAGATCATTCAATCACAATTGCCTCAAATATTCCTCCACTTAATGAAAATGTGTCTCGGAATTGGGAGGTACGTTTTTTTTCTTCTCGAAAGTAGTCTAGTCTTATGGTACTTCCTCATCTTATAAGGTGGATTTGTTTTGAAGCAGAGTAGTGAAGCGGAAGGTAGTCTGGTTTACAAGGGGAACCACAAGGATCCTGACTTATGCGATGCCTCAGATCACTCAATCAGTATTGCCTCATATATTCTTCCATTTAATGAAAATGTGTCTCGGAAACGGAAGGTACATTTTTTTGTTGACACGAGTCTAGTCTTGTGATACTTCATCACCTTATAAGGCTTTTTTTCCCCCTTTCAGAGTAATGAAAATGTGTCTTGGAATTGGAAGGTACGTTTTTTTTCTCGACTGTAGTCTAGTCTTATGGTACTTCCTCATCTTATAAGATGGATTTGTTTTGAAACAGAGTAGTGAAGCGGAAGGTAGTTTGGCGTACAAGGGGAACAACAAGGATCCTGACTTATGTGATGCCTCAGATCACTCAATCACAATTGGCTCATATAGTCCTCCATTTTATGAAAATATGTCTCGGAAACGGAAGGTACATTTTTTTCTTGACATGAGTCTAGTCTTGTGATACTTCATCACCTTATAAGTTTTTTTTTTTTCCCCTTTCAGAGTAATGAAAATGTGTCTGGGAATTGGAAGGTATGTTTTTTTTCTCGACTGTAGTCTAGTCTTATGGTACTTCCTCATCTTATAAGAGGGATTTGAAACAGAGTAGTGAAGCGGAAGGTAGTCTGGTGTACAAGGGGAACGACAAGGATCCTGACTTATGTGATGCCTCAAATCACTCAATCACTATTGGCTCATATATTCCTCCGTTTTATGAAAATGTGTCCCGGAAACGGAAGATACATTTTTTTCTTGACACGAGTCTAGTCTTTTGATACTTCATCACCTTATAGGTTTTTTTTTTTTCCCCCTTTCAGAGTAATGAAAATGTGTCTTGGAATTGGAAGGTACGTGTTTTTTTCTCGACTGTAGTCTAGTCTTATGGTACTTCCTCATCTTATAAGATGGATTTGTTTTGCAACAGAGTAGTGAAGCGGAAGATAGTCTGGTGTGCAAGGGGAAAGGCAAGGATCCTGACTTACGTGATGCCTCAGATCACTCAATCACTATTGCCTCATATGTTCCCCCATTTAATGAAAATGTGTCTCGGAAAAGGAAGGTACATTTTTTTCTTGACACTAATCTTGTGATACTTCCTCACCTTATAAGGTTTTTTTTCCTTTCAGAGTAATGAAGCAGAAGGTAGTCTGGTTTACAAGGGGAATGACAAGGATTCTGACTCATTTGATGCTACAGATCAGTCAATCACCATTGCCTCGTATATTCCTCCACTTAGCGAAAACTTGTCTCAACAGAAGGTATATTTTTTTCTTGAGAGTAATCTAGTCTAATACTAATAGTACTTCCTCACCTTCTATATGGTGGAAGTTCACAAAAGTGTTTTAATAGTTATAATAAAGAAAGATAGATTGGTAGATTGAAGGATTTCAAATTAATGTATGCAATTTTTTAATTATTTAACAAGTATAGTATAAATTTGGATTGAGAAATTTGTATTTAAGTTTTTTTTAAAAAAAATGTATGGATTGATTCAAGAGAAATTATATGTGAGAATTTCAAATAATAAGTGTATTAATATATGTACAAAGAAATGTCAGTTAATTGGAGAGAAACTAAGAGAAATTTTTTAACAGAATAATCTGATGATCAATTTTCTGAAAATGGTTTTTTGACGTTACTTGAAGAGGGATTCAAATGGTTGTTGGTTTCTTTGCTTGTCTCGTCCATGGCCATCCTAGTTGCTCTATCGGCATCACTTTTCTAAACTATACGATATGAAAAATAAAAATAAATTATTTTCAAAATATTTACGATGAGCAAAAATGAAAACTGATTGTTCTGTTATCATTTAATGCACAATAGCCAAACAAGAAAATTACAGTGGCCATACAATTTTTCACAGTTATTTCAAACAATATAACACAAAAATCACAAGAACTTCAATGAAGAAACAATAGAGTTGAGTCTACAGACTGTGATGATAAACAGAGCATTGCAGTATGGGAGAAGATTTCATGTGTCATTAGTTGACATAAGAGAATTACTGATTTTCGTACATTAAAATGTTGACACTAAAGAAAATTATGGGAAACGAAAATTATCATAATTTGACACGGGTATTACCCAGTGGCCTGTTTCATCAGATTCGGATGGGATTTAAAATTATCTGAGGTCAAGCTCATATGGGCTGGCCTCTACTTCCTCGACTGATATTTATTTCATCTCTTCTAATTGTGAGCCTTAGTAATATGAAATCAAGTCATAAGAAAAGGATGCATGCTCCACATTAAAATGAATGGCACAAAAGCAGCTGCTTAAATGGTGATCCCCCGCCAAGAGGCGAAGGAGGAGACTGAACAACTTAAGTTTTTGAATCGAATTTTAAAATACCCGTCTCCTCGAACGGGTGGATGTGCTCGTGTTTGAAAACACTTAAATTTAAATTTAATGTAGTTGATGTTGTTATATTTCTCCAAGTTATTTAAATTTTGATAACTTCGGTTTTTTTTTATTCCCTTTAGCTCATGAGAAGGACATGAGTGCTACATGTGATTTTTGGAGTTTGATGATTAGTCCCATTCTTCAGTTTAAGACGAAAAAACGATTAAAGATGTGTTTCTGGGCAGAAGAATTGAAGAGCAAAATCTTTTATGTTAAAATGTGTGTGTGTGTGTGTGTGTGTGAGAGAGAGAGAGAGAGAGAGAGGAGTAATCAGAACCAACCTAAAGCTTAAACCAAAAGTTTGTGATCTGATATCACTTTTCGCCTAGCAAGTATGGATAAGGATACGAGTAGGATACAAACGCAATGATACAATAAATTTTTAAAAAATAGAACACAAATATAGTACTGATATGTCAAAATATAACCATATAATATTTTATTATATATAAAAAATTATTATTATTTTTATTTATTTTATCTACATAATCATGAATGAATGCACAAATTTGGAGTTTAGATTTAAATATTTGTTTGTTTTGATATTTTAAATTAAATATTATATTTAGTATTAGCCCATAATGTATTTAAAATTGCATTGAATTTTAGTTTTCTAATAAAAATAATTACAAAAATCATCCTGAGTTTTGGAAGTGTCCAAAAACTCGTGTCTATGCCATGTCAAACTAAAATATAAAATATTCAAAATTCAGGACACTTTTAACTGTGTTCATGTGTTTAAGCCGTCCATGCTTCCTAGCTTTCTGCCCAACCCATGCTCAAAATGGACCACCTCGGACCAAATCTGGGCTTGGATCTAGCTCATGAGAAGAGAGAGAGAGGGAGGGGGAAGGAAACAGAACCAACCTAAAGTTTAAACCAAAAGTTTGTGATCTGATATCACTTTAGTACAGGACACAAAACACGATTATGACACGAACACAATGATACTTATTATATTAAATTTAAAAAAACAGAACACATATAAAATAATATTTTATTATAAATAGAAAAACAATTATTGTTATTTATTTTATCTAGATAAGAAAGCACAAATTTGGAGTTTAGAATTAAATATTTGTTAGTTTTGATATTTTGAATTTTATATTATTTTTAGTATTAGTCTATTATATATTTTAAATTGCCTTGAATTTTATTTTTTAGATAAAATAATTACAAAAATCACCCCGTGTCTTAAAAGTATCCAAAAGCCCATGTCCATGTCGTGTCAAACTAAAATATAAAATAGTCAAATTTCAGGGTACTTTTAGCAGTGTCTACGTGTCTGAGCGTCCGACACCGCCACAGCACCTCTAGGTGAAGTGTTTGTGCTTCATAACTTTCCGCTCAACCCATGTTCAAAATGGACGGTCTTGGACCTAATTTGGGCTTGGATCTAGGTCTTAATGTGGCCCAACTTAACAGGCCAATTGAATGTCAAAGGCCCAACAAAAGCCCAGTCCAATATTTAAGTTTTTATACTTGATTTTGAAAATAGCTCATAATCAATAAAAGGCCGTGGTTGAAACATTTTTTTTTTTTTGTTGCGTCGGCGAGATATACACACTTAACTTGTCCTTTGGGAGGAAGGAAACAGAACCAACCTAAAGCTTAAACCAAATTTTTATTATTTATTTTTGCAGAAGGAAAAATAGTTAATGCTTGAAGGGTTTATTGTTAACATGTTGTTGCCTTTGAAGGGATAATTTTTTTTTTTTTTGGATGGCGGTTTCTTTTGGTATGTTGTACGGACCTTTTGTGGTGGTGTCTTTGGACGTGTTGTACGGTCCTAGTGGTATGTAAATGTAATAGTAATAGTAATGGTTTTGTTAATTATTTGACCTATGCTTTTGTGTAACGGATTATAAAATTTTTTGGGAGGCTTGTATTTTTTACCATATGTGGTATATGGAATATCGTGCTTTGGGTTAATTTCACAAAATCACCCTGTATTATATATATATATACACACAATTGTTTCCTAACTAATCAGCCAGAAGAATCATGGTTGTTTAGTTGAACAATTTGGTTGCCACTGATGTTCTCCAAATTTCTTCGAAATTGAACAAAGGCATATTCATACGACCCCCTCTTCTGATATGTTCTATATTTAGGTGATGGAGGGGTCGATTGTTTGGTTTATGCAACCAACAAATTAGTTACAATTTTAAACTTTTAAATTAATATTTGTAAGGCAATGGTGATGCAGTCATTTCACATTATACTAATAGTTTGGTACAAGGGGAGATTTGTCTCACATCGAATCCGAATGAGAAGTGACACAGGTATAAATGAGTGGGAATGCGGCAGTACCCAATATTTTAAACTTTTGAGTAAATGGACAAACGTTCACTCATTACACACATCTATAACCAAACTTCTTAAATAAAAGTTGTTAGGTAAGAGCAAAAGTTTTGTTAGATAAGAGGGTTTATTTGTTAGTCCGGTGAGTATAATATGATTATTTTTATTTTACAGGAGATTTTATAAAATTTACCCCATTTTAAGTAGCAAGAAGTAAAATATCTATGTTTCTAATAATGCAAATTGTCTAAAGAAATTTCATTAAATTTGGGAAGTGGAGAATTGAAGTTTCCCTAAAAGTATTCTGGGACTTAATTGTTCCGAAAACAGAAATTTTAAAAATATTAAAATCAACTTAAATAACTAAGTTTCATTTAAGAATCAGGTTAATTGATTTCATCAAATTCATTCGTTTTTCTATATAAAGTGTTGCCTCACGTAATGGTATGCAAATGAATATCAAAAATAACATTTGTATCCAATTCATCTCCCCAAACACTAGAGATTAATTAAATGAAAACTAATAACTAGTTAACTTACTCTGATAATGCATGTAATGAACACATCCTCAGCTTGTCATCTCTATTTAAATTTAAGAAAAAAAAATCATTCTGTATATTATTCTCTTTTTTTATTTTTTTATGTTGTCCTTATCTAATTTGATTTTCGATCTATCTTTTTTTCTGTATTATATATGGATTATGTGTTTTTAAAATTTTGAATTATAAACTAAATTCTCTAAATTTAAAATTTTTACTGATAAATTACATTGACTCATCCTGAAATTTGTTTATATGGTTTTAAAAATTACCCTATCCTCTCCTAAAAATAAACTAAGTAATAGAAATTTTATTTTTTAATGGTCAGCTCTAGTCAAAAACGAAAATTGTTTATGTCATGCACTTAAAATTAGTAAATTGTCAATATTGCCCGGTCAAATATGAACACTTCTAACCTGAATAATGATAAAATACAAAAATACTCAATCTTTGTCTTCCACATTGAAAAGCCAAAATTAACCCTAACACATTCAATGTCCACAACTTTACCTCCTTTAACCCTTTCAAGTTCCATTGGACGTGTAAGAAACTGGGAATCACCCACCTTTCCTTTGCTGATGACTTGCTTATTTTCTCCCATAGAGATATTCAATCTGTTTCCACTCTCAAACAAGCACTCGACTTGCTTTCCAATCTATCAGGTCTATTTGTCTCAAACTTAATCTTCCATTATCTCCCTTGTTGGAATCGAGAAGGGCTCCCCTACCAATCAGACATTTGGGTGTTCCCCTGGCCTCAAAGCTACTGCTTGAAGGGTTCTTGTTAACAAAATCACCGCAACAATACAACATTGGACTATCAGGCGGTTATTCTATGCAGGCAGACTTTAGTTAATCGAATCTATCCTATGCAGGGCATCCATTTCTAAGTTCCTATGGCTTCTAAAATTGAATAATGCACAAGGCATATGGTCAAAATGGGCAGGCAAGGATCCAACAAAGGACCATTGGGGGCGGATGCACTCACTGCATCTTTTATATTTTCATTTTATACCTTAATTTCTTTAGAATTTATGAAGATTCTCCCACTAAAATTGTAATTCGCTCCACTAGATTTTTTTTTCTTCTTCATTTTCTATTTCAAACTTTTGAAAATTTATGAAGATGCTCCCACTAAAATTACAATTCACCCCACTAAATTTTAAAATTTTGCATTTTATACTTTAAATTGATGAAAAAAACTCTATTGAAATTATAAAA